AGTCTTCCCTTCTGGCCAGAAGGACCAGGATCAGATCCTGCCAATACAGCGCTTAAAAAAAGAAAAGTAACCAATTCTAATGCTTTCTACTCCAGTCTTATGAAAAAGTACACAGAGCAGAGTAGATGTTAAATACTTGAGTTGCCTTTCATAACTGAAGTTTGTAGATATAAAAAGGGGAGAAATGTTGTTTCTTTAAATGTAGAGGAAGATAGATTTACAGAGCCAACCCAAAGAAACTACATACTGAAACTGAAAACATTTCAGTGGGCCAGGCATATGTTTAGAATAATGAAAGCAAGCCAGCGTCTCTTGGATGTTCTGAAATGTGCAAACATCTCAGTGAAAAGTAAGAAATATTCAAGTGGACTTTACCTTTCTCCCTTGAGTTTTATTCGCCTTCACTTGATGTGAAAATAAGGGGCAAATTGCATGTTAAGGTCCATCTTTGGGACTGACAGAACCACAGAAGTAGTTTCTTCGTTGGCTGCATCACAAAAACTGAAATGCTCCTTGAGTTTTCAAGGGCCCCAAAATGGCAAAGTTTAAATTCTTGCAAAGCAGAATACTCTCCAGACAGAAAAGTCACGTATGCAGTGAGACTTCAATAAATCCACGGCTTCCTGATGTTAGACCCAAAGCACCTTTCCCTAAGTCCAGATTAACGTTGATAGGAACATGGTGAGGAAGCACCCTTGTTTCATTCAAATGTGCTGGAGTGTGCAACTGCTTCCCAGGAATCCAGAGAGTGACCTATGCAATGGTTACAGGCATTTCTGAAATACACATTTCCTTAATGTTTAGAAAGTGCTAAGAACAAACCTTTAATGCTTTCTCTTCACCAATAACAATTTTGTACTCTGAATGCAATATGTGGCAAGATGGTAGGAAAAAAATTAAGGCCAGCCTGTTTGGTAAAGCTGCAGGAAAATGAGGGGAGTTACAGTGGGAGATGCCAGGTATCTTCAGTATAAAGGTTGTTGCTACCTATTGATACTAAAAGCTTATCATTAACAGAATTATTATCAAACAGAGATTCATAAGCCATGAAACAAGTTGTTATAATCTGACTTCTTTTTGACAGTGTGTTTAATTTAAAGATGAATTACACTCGCAATGAAGGAGAGGAAAAGGTGCCCGATGATGAACTGGAGTGCAAAATCTGTTATCAGAGATTTACTATTCACAGTCGTAAGCCCAAAATCTTGGATTGTCTTCACAGAATTTGTGCTAGATGTTTGACTAAAATACTTCATATAGGAGACGGATCTCCCTGCGTTAGCTGTCCCTTTTGCCGCCATGAGACAGAGTTGCGTGAAGATGAAGTTGAAGGACTCCCCAGTGATACAAACATTATGTCCAAGCTCATAATAAAAGACAAAACAGCATGGAATTCAGACTGTAAAGAAGTAGTTTTAACACCAAAAAACTTGGCTTCCTCAAGGTCTTCCCATGGATCATCAGACTGCTTAGTAATTACAATTATGGAAGTACAAAGAGACTCCCCAAGGACTCCCAGTCGAAGCAGTGCCTCAGACTACTACGCTGATCATGACACCGAGTCAGTATCTCCCAGTTCTCAGAGTTGGCTGGACCAAGATCTCTTTTCAAAGCTGTGCAAGCATGTACCCAGAATACTGGTATGGCTGCTTGGATTTCTTTACTTTAGTTCCCTTCCTCTTGGGATCTATTTACTAGTGATTCAGAAAGTGACCCTAGGTGTTGTGTGTGTGAGTTTTGTTCCCTCCAGTCTAACTCTATGTCTTGTGTATGGCTTCTGCCGGTGCCTCTGCCACGGAGTTTGTGACTGCTCTTCACAAAGCTGAAACACAGTGTTTTATCAATTGGAAAATTTTTAGCTGAACCATAAAACAATAGCAGACTTTAACCTTTATGGACTGTTAAAAATGTATAATATGACATATATGTGATTTTGTTAAAGCACACTAACTTGTGTGAATACTGGCAAAATGACAACATGGTATTGTTGTGGTTTTTCTTTTACTAAAAAGACGGAGGTTACTATCGCCTGTTCCTTAAGTAACAAACGGTTTTAGACCACCATCTCATTAACTGTGAATAGAACAGATTTTTGAAGATTACTTATTATTTAAAAAAACAAAACAAAACCCACCCACACCCTGTTTTTATCGAATACTTTGTCACCGTTCTTAAAAACAGATGGAGATCAGAAATGTGCTGTGTATGACTTGTTTAAAAAAAAATGAAAGTTCAATTACAAGCTAGTTCAGATTTGAGTCAAATCTTTTCTGATGTCAAAGGGAAATAAAACTGCATTACATATTCTGCTCTATAATCAGATTGTTCAGGAAAGTTTTGAGTTATGAGAATTATGACAGACACCTGTAGCTGAATCTTAAAGGGCCAATTAAAGAACAGTTTTTAAGTAAGCTTTAATATTTTTCATGATTCAGTATACCTGAAAAATTACCTGACATAAACCAAAGTATATAAAATTAAAAATGAACCTAATTTGTTTTAAAAATTAAAATACCAAAGTAAGTTTTGTTTCCTTAACATAGTTCCTGTGCAAAAATGATTTATTTTTCTGAGTATTTATGTTCAACCTATTTGATAATGCTCTACTGTCGTTTTCTGAATTTCATATGGTTGTACTGATAACCTACAAAACATTTTGCACATTGAATGACGTTTTATAAAGTTTGTTTACAGTAATTGCTAAATCCCAAACTAAAAATGGATATTTATAAAGAGGATAACTTTTAATTTGCTACCTAACTTAAGCATACTCAGTTTAAAATATGTAATAAAGCTGTATATATAAATATCTGCATGGTTTTGGGCTTTTCTTTCGCAATAGTCTGTTACTTAGCTTTAAAGACTTTCACGGTGATTCTGTGTTTAATAACAGATTTGCCAGATCTTCATTTATTTTGAGATTTATCAATGAAAAACAAAAACCACAGGATTTTTGTTCATTACTTTCTCCAAAAGAATTCACTAAAAGGAAGAACTCCAGATCAGAAGACCAGATCCACTTTTACGTGCGAAGCACAAATGACCTGACTTCAGAGGGAAATGATCTAAAGGGAACGGAACTGCCAGCTTTTTGAACGACCCTTATCTGTAGGGTACGTGCTGTGTTTCCAGTGAAGAGTGGCTGGCCCACCTACCCTTCCTTCTTTCCTTGCCTCAAATAACATTTGCAGTGAGGTGAAAGAAGCCCCAGAGAATCTTTTGACACACACACGGTGCATCTGACCTGCAACATAGTTTTGGACGAGCTTACGCCTGCTGAGATACGAGGCAATGAATTCACCAAAAGGTAAATGTCAGACATCTGGTTATGTCTAAAAAGTTGAAAACACAGACTGACATTGTAGGCATTTGCAAGTAACGCAAACCTGCAGGCTAGAAGCTTTTCTCTCATCATAACCCGAGGACCGTATGCTCTCGTACATGTGACATAATATGTATTTCCTATCTTGTATCTTGCTAAAATAGCTGAAGATAGCTAAAACCAATGCAAAACACCCTTTTCTAAGATAAGAAATAGCGTAATGCTCAGATTACCAATAGTTTTATCACCCTTTCAGAAGAATGAATGCATTTTAAATACTGTTATCACTGGAAACAGATTACAAGTAAATACCTTGTAATAGGTTTATTCTGTAACTCAACATACAGGGCAGTTACCCAATTTGTGATTTCCTGAAGCAGCTGATAGTAGTATTCCTCCAGCTGATATAGTCAGACTAATGAGACCTCCAACGTATCTCATTCAACTAAGCAGAAAGTATGTAATCTTAAAGTAAGATGCTGCTCAAGTTTCATGGTTGTTAGAATTGTGTATGAACTGTGGAGGCAAACATGTATCTTCCAAGTGAAGAATCCTTCTGCCTTTCCACATTCACTTGAATTTTTATCAGCAGCACCTGAAAAAGCTGTGTGTGCAATATGGCCTGTCCTGTTTGAGGAACTGCATTACATATTGGGATTAAAGAAGTCTCGTGACTAAAAAGAAGCAAACTGAAAATTTGACAATGTATTTAGACTATGAAAATAGGGGTTTTTTTTTATATGTAAAACAAAAGAATCACTTAACTTTCCATAAATCACTGAAGAGAGCAAATTAATAAAGCTTATTGTTCACAAATGTGGATTACCTGACAGGTGGTGTTTAAGAAATTAAGGTGTCTTCAGCAAAGAAATAAACGATACTAGCTGTTAGCAAAGTTCAATTAATACGATAACCGAGAAGTGTATGATATTTTAAGGTGCTTTGTGACTGTTTAAGCCCTCTGCTTTACTGACCAAAATTAACAACAAAAAAAGTTTTGCAAGTAGATTAGTCTTACTTTTGCTAAAAAGAAACAGCAGTATTTAAGAACTTTATTTACAGGCTGTTTTTTCTAATTTCCATTAACAGTTGATGGGTTAAGAAGGATTTTTTGTATTTTTATTTGGGTTTGCACTTAAAATCCACAGCATGTACTGCATGTAAATATTCTTAATTTTACGCAAGTCTCTTCTCTATCCTTCATAGTAGTCACAGATCTATTAAATTGCAGTAAATCTGTATTTAAGAAGAATAGAAGCCACTGTCTTGGTAGGGGATATGTTTTCTAAATTTAGATAGACATGAATGAGGGTGAAAAATGGCTAAAAACATTTTATAGCTGTATTAGTATAATTAGAGAATTCTTTTATAGTAGTTTTTCATGCATTTAGGCATTTTATGATGGGTTCCTTACAAATTCTAGCCATTTTTCAGCTTACTGCTGTCTCTTTACATCTATGACTTGGTTTACTTTCTGTGTTGCTAATTCCTGGGCTGTGTTGATCCTCAGAAGGAAAGTGCAGGAGTTGTTCTCTGTTAACATAGTGGTGCGCATTTGTGTTATTTGATGCATGCATAGTCTTGCATAAAAACACTGACACAGACTAACTACTGACCTTCCTCATTAAAAAAACCCCAAAACATTTTATGTAACATTTAGCAGAGAAGTACTGCTTACCTTAACTTTTTCTTCCAGTCTTCCTAAGCGTAGACTGCCTTCTACTATTTTGTTAAGAACACCATGATTCTCATTTTCCAAACATTTGGCCTGCAAACATACAGTATACATAACTAAATGTAATCACTACTTTAGACAGGACAGACAAAATACATACACTAAGAAAGACAAACTATTCTGTTTTGAGCTCCAATAATCTGAAGAACCAAGATAGAAAAATAATCCTGAAAATTATTCTAATAATGGCTACTTAATAATTTGTCAAGTGATTGCAAATACTCTCTCACTAACAAAATAATAACTTGAAACAGTTTTATTCTGAAGGGATCATAGCTACTGACATTGTAAACCCAATCAATTCCGCATATTCTGCTACAGATGTATACATGTGTATTTAGGGATCCCATTCGTATGCCTGAGACTCATCCTTCTGGGTCAGATTTACTAGTCTGCTCTGAAAAGAGCCCCTGAAATTGGCAGGGGTTCAGGCAAGGAATCTGACCTGTGGCTTATGAAATTCTTCTGTGTTATGACTGTTTCCATCATTTCATAAGCCATACATTCTCTCTCAGATATAAATAGTAAACAAAAACCTGCATAAGCTGTAAACAATGAAATCATTTTAGAACTATAAGAGGTTTCAACTGTTAAATGCACTGAAAGCACTGAAAAGGGGAATAACCAGGCTTTAGGATCAGCAATGTCTGACCACCTTGAACTACCCATAGCACTCCAGAGACACATCTCCTTTCACAGAAGTCAAAACTAATTAGCACGGCTGGGGTCTGTCAGCCTCCTGCTCAGTCAGGGACGTTTTGATTTACTATGTGGTGGCTGAAACATACAATACAATAAAAGAGTCATTTTGACAGCTGCTAACTCAGGATTACAGTTCAGCATCATTGTTGCACTACCAAAATTGTTTTAAATGAATTTGTTGCTGCTCTGTTTTACTCTTACTGGATTTTTCAATAGGCTGTCACTGTTCCTGGAAACAGTAAATTTAAGTCTATCCATTTATTTTTGTGGAGATGTGGTTACTACAGTTTGGGGCTTTCTTAATCCTCATTAAGCAATAATATAGGCTAGTTTCTTAAAAGTGCTGTAACCTTTCAGCTCTCCCTGTTCTTCTGGATTAAATCTCCATAAAATGAATTTTAACACTTTAATTCAATTAGTGAATTAAAAAAAAGAATAAGGCTAGGGTAACAGCAGTAGCTGAACTGAGTAAATATAGCTGACATTAATGAATTTTGAGGTGGGGGGAATGATAATACATTTTTAATTCTATGTCATGCTCAGTAGTGGCTCTTCATAACCATGAGGGTCTGGCTCTAATTAATTGTTTTTTGTTTTCTAGGCCTTTGCATTAAACAACCCTATCAGATTACCTGACTACAAGATACCTGCAGTCTTAACTTTCTGCCAAGGTAGGTTTCAAGTTCAGTGATTAAATGTAGGAACAGGTTGTTCTGGTTCAGCTCTACCAGGCAGCAAAATAAACTGAATATTTAAAGGTTTTACCGATACTAGACTAGTACAAGTTTGTCTCAGATTACCTCTGCTGTCAGCCCAGAGCTGACAAAAAAGCACGACTTGTGCGCTGGTTAGTGTCTAAGCCACAAAATGGAGAAATAATGGATGGCAAGTAGGTACATATGATCATCATACACATGCACAAGAGAATGTGACCCAAAAGGAAGAGATAAATTCTGTTTTGCCTGACAGGACTGGCTTCTAATTGCTGGATCAGTTTATACCTGCCTAAAGAAAGACCGGCCATAGTTGACTGCATTTTGTGCTGCTTTCTACAGACCTGTTCTGAGCTTTTTGTATGTACATGAAACTTTATTTCCTAGTGTGTGCTTTCAGGTGCAGGTTTCAGAAAGGAAGAATACAATGTCAAATACTGCACGCTTGCAAAGACAAGATTTACACTACCTTGTGGTGATTAAAGTTATGTTAAGATATCTTTACTTCTGAAACAGGCTTTTACTGCTAAAAGTATTCTGAGCATCTACTAGGGTATTATTAAGCCAAATGGCACATCTTGTACTTAAGAGGTAGTTCTGGATCTCTGTGATATTTCTAATGTGCTATGCTAAATATCTGAAAGTAGATATACCAGAGATAAGAACCAGTTCCCCTAATTCCTAGGAGACGTTTACTATGCCTAGTTTCACAATCCTAAAGTCTGGTTTGCAGTGGACAAGGATTTGAGTTGGGTCACCATAGTTCCTCTTCTAGAATTAGGAATTAACCGCTATACAATCTTTTTACCCAACACTGATGACAACCTTTGTCTACTACTTGAACAACAGAAGCAAAAGAACCTTTATTTTAATAAAGTTTTGTGCAATGGTTTCCAGGACTAATTTGAAGACAGAGTACTAATATGTAAAACTGAAATTATGTCCAAGATCTTATAAAGGAAATGAGTGTGCCTATAAAAAGCCCAGTAACTTCCATGCCAGACACTTCCACTAAACAGAAGTTGTTCCAAAACTCTCAACCAGCCTGTCAAAATGACTGCTTACCAAAAAGGAGCAATACCGGGCACGTGCCTTCACAGTAGAAGGTCCATACAGATTACTTCAAGGATAATATTTTACCTTTAGATTCAGAAACACATATTAAAAATTTATGATTGCATGCTATTTTTCAATATGTGTAGCTTCAACAACTGAAGCCAATCTCTAAAATCCAGTTAAAAAATTCTTTTAAACTTGATATATACCATTGCAGACACTAATGCTGATGTGAGTTAAGGCTTAATTATGTTATCTCCTGAAATTAGGGTAGTTGCCTTTAACTACTCTTCTAGAAAATGATCTTTTGCTGCTCCTATCCTATTTGCAAAAGTTTATTTAAATAGCTAAATCCTTAAACTGGAATTTTAGCTTTCTTTTTTGGTAATTCAAATTAACAATAAGTTGTGCCAGCAGGATGACAATTGTGTCAAGTATCAATTAAGTCATATTATTATTTAAAGGTAATTACCAAAAAAATTAGATGATCACGTTCCTGAGCTATCTTCTCCACCAAACCAATAAGGTTTGTTAGATAGTGATGGGCTGCAACTTCTTTTTCCATTGCTTCCTCCAACTGCAGTTTCAGAAGACCTACTTTCTTCTTTAATCGCCTGTAAAATTAACAGAAAAAGGAAAATCTTCAGATTGGGAATTAATAATGGCATTAAAAGAACCTGCATTGCATGTGCAGTGTACAAGGCTCAAACAATCAAATATACTATTAAAGGCGCATTGGCTCAAAATATTTGCAATGCTGAAAGTATAATTTCCCACTGTTTGGGGCTGTTTTTCTTTACAATATGTTGTGTGAACAATAACAGTAACAATGATTCAAAAGAATAATTTGTGCAATGGCTACAAGCTCGTATTTCTTAAGAAATATAACAATAATATTGTTTTTACTTTTTAAAGTATTGTGAGCCCAACTGTGAAGCTTGGGTACACAGGAAGGTCTGCAAGCAGTGTAATATCCTGTTTTTCAGGTGAGTACACAAATGATTAAGTGCTATAGCTAACCACTAGTATTAAAGATATATTCTTAATTGGCATGTAGGCACAGAAAGGTGTGCATGAAAACATACAAAGCTTAGCAAAGTTACCTGACAACCAGGCCTTTAGATGTGACAAAGATGTGTTCAGGAAACACTTTTTTTCTGTGATAGGTAGAAATTACATGACGTGGGACATCAGACAATATTTTTACAGATATTTCTGCTGGTATTTTTAGAAATACAGGTATTTCTATATAAGAAAATGAGAATGTGATATGACCTGTTTGTCTTTTGTGTCAATTCCATCTCAGTTTCCAGGATCTTGTTGTCAGCCATGAAATTATTTTTCTCTAAAAGCAGTTTCTTGTTGTGAGCTTGCAGTGATGCTATCTTTCCCATTAGATCTTCCACCTCACAGCACTTCTTCTCCTGCTCCTGTTGTAAATGGCTGCAAAAACCAAGAGTGTAGAACAGGAGTCATGCCTAGATGCCTAGTTCTTCTTCACTAAAAAGCTAAGTTACAGTAAGATAGCCATGTCGAAGGTATGAAAAAGATACTTCGAGAATCCGTAATGTTCAGTGGCGACATCATAGAGAGGTATTACAATCTCATGATATATCAAATCATGAATGAAGTATAATATAAACTATTCAAATAATTCACCCTGACTGCACTTGAAATAGAATTTAAATTATAAAAATATCCTATATATTCCAAATGTATTCCCTTCCTAATTTTTTTTTTTCAAAGAAATTACTAGCAGTGCCAAAAAACAAGGTCTGAGAACTTCTCGGGAAGGCACTGTACCAAGAAACAGCAACATGCGCTATCCTAAGGCTTGAAAGCAAACAAATTTACAGAATGTCTTCAGAAAAACATTACAGACTATGCTGCATGACAGCACTTTTGCGTTGTGCTGTTTCGTGTTATTTCCATATTGTAAAGACTTTAGTTTAGAATTTCAGGATCCTTCAGACATTTTCCCAAAGATGGGAACAAAAGAATGAGAATGTTTTATATACAGTGTTCATAGCAGTAAATAGATTTGAGAAAAATGGTAATTTTTATGTCTCCTCTTCTACTATTTAAAAATGTACATTTAGCAGTACGTACTCTATGGTAGAAACGTTTCTACCAATGTCTCTAGATCTAAGATTTCCTTCTATAGTTTTAATCGTCTATAAGAAGCGAGATGGGATTTTTGAAATATTTCTTTATCTTTCTTTGTACTTTGGTAGTTACCTTCCTCGATTACCAGCGTAAGTTTCCACTTGCCCCCTACCTAGAGTGATGCATATGCAGATCTGCTCATGTGAATGCTTTGAGTAATTGTTTCTCAGTGCACCGTATGCAAACTCGTACCTTTTTAAATCATTCACCAAAGCAAAATGCTCCTCTGCTGCTATTCTGCTATTCAGCTTTGCTTTTAACTCTTCACAAGTAGAATGCAAATCTTCCAGCTGCTTCTGATACTCTGCTATCTCTTCTTCTTGACTCTGTTTCTTATCTTCTAAGATTATTATCTGTTTGGTCAATTTTGAAGCTTTTGGGAGGAAAAAAAAAAGAACACTGGGTACAGCAGAACTAACTCAATCACCTAGTGAAACTCCAACCAAACCAGTAATAATGTTAATTTCTAGTTGTTCGTGTAAACTTAAGCAGTATCAAAACTATAAAAGTGTAAAATCAAATACTACTACTTATGATATAATTAACTACATTAAGCGATAAACATTGGTTACAAAGCAGAAAGTTAAAAAAACTCTACAAATTCTAAAGTGAACATTTAAATAAGCAAATAGTATCTCACAAATACCAACCTGTGAAGTTTAAAGTGCTCTTAAATTATGAAAATTAGTGTATTGCTGTTTAACAGTTCTTGTCACTTTTTCAGAGGAAGCACATCAAAATGGAGTAGGCTGTATAGTGCCAATAGGTGATACTGACATTTCTTTTCAGTATCAGTTGACATCAAGAGCTTGATCTCATACTAGTGTTACCTGCATTCAGTGATGCTTTGTTAGGCATATGTGAAGTTGCAAAAAAACCCAAAACCCAAAACCCCCCAAAACAAACAAAAAAAACCTCCACAAACAACCAACCAGCCAAAACTTGCAGTACCATCTTTGGTGTAGTTCAAATGACTAGCAACTCAAGCGCTTTACCTTCTTGAACATGTTGTCTGTGACTATCTTTTGCTTTAGCTTGTTGAATTTCGAGTTGCTGCATCAACAATCCATTTTCTTCCAAGACCAGCTTGGCTTGAGTTTGCAGTTGCTGCCTGCAATGACAACCAGTTTATAAATAAAATAAAATTCAAGTATTAACTTATGTCCAAAGAAAAAACACAACTGGCTTCCAACAGTGTAAACTTACAAAATCATATTTGAACCTCTTTAGAAAACAAATTAAAACCCCTCATTGAAAGCAATGTCAGGACCCAAGGTAAGCTTATTAGAGACATGAACTCATAACCCTCAAAATGTAAATGATTTTAAATCATGTTTAAAATCTTTGACTAACTAAAGCAAAAATTCCATATAGAAAGAAGGAAAATACCTATGTCTGAGTTAGAATTGTAGCATCACAGAATGGTGGAGGTTGGAAGGACCTCTGGGGGTAACCTGTTCCCATCCCCCTGCTCGAGCAGAAGCCCCTAGAGCCAGCTGCCCAGGACCACGTCCCGATCTCCAGGGATGGAGACTCTGGACAGCCTGTTGCAGTGCTCACAGTGAAAAACCGTTTCCTTATGTTCAGAGGGAACCTCCTGTGTTTCAGTTTGTGGCTGTTGCCCCTTCTCCTGTCACAGGGCACCATCGACAAGAGCCCGGCCCTGTCTTTACACCCTCCCCTCGGGCATTTATGGACAGTGATAAGATTCCCCCTGAGCCTTCTCTTCTTCAGGCCAAACAGTCCCAGCTCTCTCCGGCTTGTCACACAAAAGAATTAAAGCCACACAATGGTGCCAGATGATTTGAAGACAGCTGTGTAACTAGTAACAGAACCAAATTTCTTTTCAAAACATGCAATGAACTCTTGGATAGGATTTGGATTTACTTGGATTTAGTCTCTGGAAAAATACTGCCAGTGTGTTTTATGGGCCTGCAAAGAAGATAGGTGTTTAAACGGAGCTATCCTGAGCAGAGATCTGAACTCTGCTTTACAACTAGTATTCATTCAGCATTAAAGAAAACCAATTCCAGTCGTTCTGACGTTCACAAAAGCTTAAGAAACTATTTGCTGTTCTAGTAATAGCTTAAAAAGTTGAGAAGTATTAGCCAGAATGCAAGTGGAAATACAGTACAAGTGTCAGATGGTATCACATGAATTTAAGCTCAAAAGTTGTCATCAATCGATCAGCAAGAGTAACCTAAACCCAAACAAAGTGCAGCAAAATAGGCTGTTACCAAGGATTTCTGATGACAGTAACTAACACAATGTACATCTACTTTGTTCATGTGTGGCCTGACCTAGATACAAATGCATCCTACTGTGTATAGATCTAGATAGGGACCACATTTCCCCTACCATCAAATGATATTCTGACTAAAATTTAAGCTGAACCATACAACTAACAATTGTTGTCTGGCAGCTGAAAAATACAGTCTTAAACAGTCTACCCTGAAGATTTTTGCGAACACAGAAATGGAAGTCAGCTTACACTTGCATCCATGAAAACTTCTGCGCGCAGGAGCTTCTAAGTTTAGCTGACATTTCATTTACTGTGAAATTGACTGCAGTGGGCATAGCAGAAGGAAGCAAATGCACATCAGCCACTTACAAATCAGTTAATAGCTAAGACAGAGTTCATACTGTTTAACCACTTAAGACTTTGCATGTTTTCATCTGAATGGATAAATACGAAATGCAAACTGAATGACAAAACACATTTGTTATCTCTGACAGGGAGGTTGGTACTGATGTAAGATGCTAAGCGTTACCAGCTGAAAGAAACAATGGAAGGTTTTTTCCTATCAAAACTATCTAGGCTGGAGTTAAGGTTGAGGAAAATGGATGGTGAATGTCAATGGACAACTCTTTGAAGTACAGCAATTTTAAATAAAGGACAAAATAATTTTCCAGGTAAAACCGCAACTTTGAAATCGATGGCACTAAGATCGTATTTCATTGACAGGTTTAGGCATTAGGATCGTCTCCCGCACTGCCAAGCTATATCCTTGCCCTCAGCTACGTCTGGCACCACGAGGCTATGTTGTGAAACAAAATTTTTTAAAATTGCTACAAAAGCAGGATTAGGCTGGTCAAGACCAACTCCTTTATGTGCTTCACAGCGCATCCCCATGAGCAGTTATGTCAATACAAATAAAGGAGCAATGCACTGCAACACTGAGCGTGAAGAAGCCACTGAAGGTACAGAGCAGAAGCTTTGTAAGGTGGTATTGCTGCTGCCATCCCTGCCTTGCTGAAACCCAGCCGGAAAAACAGCTCCCAGACAGAGACTACAGACAGCCTGAAACAGCTCAAAGTGGTAAGAACTCTCATTCATTTGTCGAGAAGCAAAATTAAAAGCAAAGGTGTTAAAAGTTCAAAAATTCATATTTAAGAAGCTAAAACACCTCTATGAAAGTGTTTTCGAATTTGTGGACAGTATATAAGCATCCAAGTATACATAAAATATCCAGAATATTTTATTAAAGCACCTATAGAACACTTTGATACCTTTGTAACAACCCACTTAACCAAATCTACACAGAAACTAAACACTTCCGTAATTCTGCCTCAAGGAGGCTCTCATTGAAAGTCAATGTTTTTGGTTAAAGCTGTAGAGAGACTTAAGATTGGAAGAGACAGCTTGAGTCATAAAGTCCTCCAAGTATAGATACTGTGCTGTATGATCCTTTCCATACAATTACCAGCTGTCTCATGAGTGCATAAGAATTTTTATGATCGCTACTCGCAGCGGATGCAGTTCCAAAACCTGCTACGCTGGTCAGGAATCATCTTGTAGTTTCCACTTTAAGTTTGTTTATGGTGAATCAATATCCAGTTGTTGTTCTAGTAACACTGCCCTCAGTCCTATAAATGCAGTTTAAGTAGTTCTTTGTATATTCCATGACTCTTGGTCCTGATGTGCTTACAGAAAGCAACATAGTTTGTTCTGCTAAATTAGAAAGGCCAATCTGTCTAAAGTCCAAACAAAAGAGTCCCTCCTTCTCCTTGGCTACACCACAAACCCTTTCAGCTTTCTCTGTACTGAAATATGGATGGCTGGGAGTCTCCAGAGATTTCCATATAATTGTGTTGTTATTGCCCAACCTCTACTAGAAGGACCTATTCTAACATACCCCAGGACTATACTGCTTTCCCCCGCCCCCCTTTATGGCTGTTGCCCTAAAAAGCTTAGTCATCTTGAGATGAACAAGTATGACAAGCATCTTCTCCATCTTGGTTACCAACTGATGAATGCCTGACTTAGGTGACTTGTTTTTAAGCCTCATGTTTTTTATACTACTTAATTAAATTATGTTTGCATTGTTTCACTTCTCAAGAACATCAAATTCTTCTAATGCCATATTCCAATACCATTTTATATTAATGAAAAACTGATGTCATTGGCACATTCCTTTAGTGGAAGTGTAAAAGTTAAGCATGTAACCTGCAAGGTCTGGGACAGAATTACATGGGCTTCAGGTGTAAAACTGCAACTATTTAATCTTCACTCCAAAATTATTTCAGGTATTGCAGATCAGCATTGTTCCAACAAGACATAATCATGTCATGACCCTATTAACTCTTCAGCAAAACTTAATATCCTTGAGGGGAACAAGATTTTTCCTTAAGATCTGCAATCTTTTGAATACAACAAGCAGCTATTAAATTAATTTCTAGTAATATAACTTGCCATTCTGTAGGGGTAATAAAGTTATTTTTATTTAATTGCTCATGCAGGTCTTCATTCTCCTTCACCAACTCTTCAACTCTTACTTTAAAATTTTTCATATCCTCCTGGAAGACAAAGAATTCCACATAAAATTCTTTAGATGCAAGTATTTTGTTTTAATTTTTACATCAACAAAAACTTTTATAAATACACATGCCTGGGTGCCTTCTAATTCTTCTGTTAACAGCATATTATCTCACTACGCACTCATCTTTAATTCAGGTGTGTCTACTTAACTTTTAAATTGCTTCATCAATTTACTAGTATTTGATTAAAAATAATGTAGGTACTTGAATTGTGCCATATTTTTGCCAAGTGTCATTTGAATTAAGCAAGCTGCAGATCCATAAAATACGGATTTAAAAAACTGAATTCTGGAAATTACTAGATGATAGTATACATTTTCAGTATGAATGACATGAATTTGAATATGGTAGGACAATACAGTTAATTTACAGTAATATAAAACTCTCAGTGTTTTCTGCTCATTTTATGGCTGAAGTTTTTGAAGGAAACAAATTATTTTGAAAAGCTATGGCAGTTCTGCTCTGAAGCAAATCACCATTTTTCAAAGATTCAGGGACAAAAAAGTACCCCTGAAAAGCAAAAAGAGTAGCCCTTCCTTAACACCCATTCCTTAAATAACTACAAATAAGTATTCTCTACCACAAAATCCACAGGCCTGTAACTGGAAGAGCAGCTATACAGGGCACTCCATCCCCATTATGAATGACAATAGTAAATCCTTTCTACCACTGACTGTGTTTATGGTTCAGTCTATTCATAGAGCACAACTCTTGTACATCTCAGTGTAGTGCCTGCTTCTACATCTGAACAGGCTGACAAAAACAAGCAAGCCAAGTAGGATATGATAGCACAATAACTATACATGGAAAAGTGAAACAAAGTCACTTTTAAATTTTAGGCAGAAGACAGCTTTGACAAATCCCTTTAAAAAAAATCAGTAAATTGATTTCTGCTTTAGCGGAGAAGTATATTTTCTTTAAATGGCAACTTGCCTCATGTTCAAGATTTAAATCTTCCTTTTCTCTTATTCTATCTTCATATGCCAAAAGAAGAGGTGACAAATACTTCATATCCAACTTAAGAAAGAAATAAAAAAATCAATCTATATGAATATATATATATATACAAACCATAATGTCATCAATATTTTTTACTACTTCTCTTGCTATATATTGCTAATTTTAAAAGCTATTAAGGGTTTTTGAATATGCCTTGCAGACAATAGTGCAGGACTTATACAAGCATGCAGACCACCATATGCAAAATGATGCTGCAGAAGCACTTAGTATCACTGCTTTAGGAGAAAGCTTTGGAAAGGACAAGGCTGGATGCTATACTTGCACACTTCACTAAAAAGCAGCTATTACTTATCAGTGTATGTAACACAGCAGAATGTGGATGCAAATGAATACAAACCAAAACTGAAACACTCCAGTGAATACAGTTGATAAGAATAAAATTTAGCCCAGATTCATTAGTAAATGGGAAAGGATTTTTTTACACTGTCAAACCTGCATCTTTAAAACTAAAATACATACTTGGATATTATAGCTAGAAAGACAGAGCAGAAGGAGGACTTTCCTATTTCTGTACAGTTCCGAATAACAATAAGGAAGGAAAATTTAAGATCTGATTAGCATTTCAAGGAGAAATTGTTTCACATATTACAAATGCATTCAATTTCACAGACTATTTGCCTTCTCCTTGCCAGGAGTTCATAGGCTACTCGTGGACCCATGACCATTCCTACCATCAGAATCACTGAAATAAGCTGTTTTCTTTTAGTATCATCTTAAAAATAATCACAACAGAAGATGAAAAATTAGGCAATAGACCTTGAAGCAAACTATATGCTAGACAATACTAAGTGAAGATGGTATTTATGATTCTCAGGGTAACAGTACTTCTACTTAAATTGCATTCAGTAGTTCAAAGTTGGTGATCATATGCAGTCTGTAACTTACTGTAAATTCAACTGGAGCTGCACACGTTAATTGCAAAGTTCTGCCCTACATCTTCTTATGCAACAAACATAAATGGTTGTAATATTCTACTACTATGTGATAGTTCAGCAGAGTAACTAAATAATATCCTGAATATTTTGGTTCCAGTAAAGAAATTCTACTACTTTACTTAGAAAGGAATGAACAGGTAAATGAAAATACTCTTTCACTTACCAGCCATGGTGGTGGTGGTCCTTTCATGGGTAAACTTCTCAGTTTTAGATGCTAAAGTAGATTTTTTAAAAGATACTGAAATTATTTCCCGCTTTTTGAAGCACCAATCACTGTCCACTGCATTCACAACTATCACCCCAAACAAGCTTATGTTTCTAACTACATGTATTGCATATTTAACACACACTCAATTAAGTCAACAAAACTGGAAGGTCACTATCTTACTAATATAGGAGACAGTCTAACTTTAAGAAGTTAGACTTAACGATAAATGCTTATTTTAAATTTCACACAAAGCCTATGCTATTTCTAGACTTTGTGGCAAATTTGGAGAAAACAGTCTTAAAAACTCAAAGATGAATGAAAGGACAATGGGAATGGGAGATTTCAGTACAAACTGCCTTTATAACCAAGATTCTCACCTCTTCTTGGGACAATGGCCTGAATTTAGTTTGATAGCGACTTAATTCTACATTTAAACGATGGACCGTCATTTTCAAAGCATCATTTTCATCTACCAGTTCTTGTGCTTGCTGTCTGAGAGAAAGTAATTCTGCAGCCTCCTCTATTAAAACAAATATCGAACATGAAAGTTCAATCAAAATTAAAGAAATATTCACAATAATTTGTTAATTTTAAGGAAAAAAAAATCTCAGTAAGCTAGGATCATAAGAGAACTTCTCTCAGAATACTGTAATGGAATAATCCCATATGAAATTACTAACAAAAAAACATTACATTTCAAACCACCAAGTAAAATTTTTTCATTATTATGTAAATATTCCTTGACAAAATTTCTACAAATGTAGAAAATACTGTTCAGAAATGACTTCTGCATAGATACTTGCTCAAATCACTGGAAACCTACTACTGCAGGAATAGGTTGTAAGAAATCAGAAAAATCAAACAAGTTAACTACAGAATAGCTTATATGTTTCTCACACCTTCGCTTTGTGACTTCTCTGCAGCTTCTTTAAGTCTTCTGTTTTCTTGTTCTAGTCTCTTCAGCTTTAATTGCTGTTCTCCCATTTGCTGTTTTGTTCTCTCAAATTGTTGGACCATAGCCTGGTATGCCTTGTTCAGAGACCAATTTTCTTGTTTCAGTTCTCTGAACTTTTCTTTAGTCATATTCTTCCGTGCTTGTCTTGCCTGAGTAGACACATCTGTAATGTCACAGTACAATGTATTTAAATAGTATTCAGACTTGAATACATGTTTCAGCAAATTAGAATAAATTTTTCTAATATTAGCATGAGTGTTGCTCAAATGAGCGTCCTCATTTGAGTGACACAGGACTAATTTATCTTTTAATACTTGAGAAGACTGCATTTTTAGAAGACTCTAGTGTCTGAATTTGTGAAAATATTGACTTTCTAGACAGCTATGGTGTGTGGGTCTCAAGGTCTCAGTGTTTTCGAGCTTGCCGGGTGCAGGGATGAGGGGGAGCAAAACCTGCGCACTTGACCCAAGCTGGCCAACAGGATTATTTCATACCATCAGCATCACATTCACTATAAATTAGAAAGTTTGCTGCAAAGTTTGCTCTCTCCCTTGATGGCTGCCATCCTGAGAACTTCTTCCCTGGTGCCGGACCCCTGAGCCCTTCCCTTCCTCCCAAAGCCATAGCGCTCGCAGTGTCCCACATTTACTGTCCACTGCTGGGAGTGCACAGCTTCCTACTGATAGAATTGGCTGAGTACAATCTGTGCATATTCTGTATTGGGATTGGGATCAATATTGGTTCTTTAGTGCTATTAATGTTAATTATCTAATCTTATTCTATTAAATCTTTTTATATTTCAACTTCTGGGTTTCCTTGTTTTTTCCTGACTCCCTTTCCTGGGTGGGAAGGGGTCATCGGGTGATAGAATGTCTAAACGAAAATAAATTGTTACAGGTTTCCCAAACCATAAAAATGAGTGATACTTAACAAAATATAAATCAGCTCATGGCTCCCAGAAGATAAGGCCAGAGAGAATGAAAAATGTGGATTTGTAAAGAGAGCTATATAGTGGAGTGGCTGCAAGTTCCCTTCTTTTCTCTCCTTTAAGGGCAAAGAAAATGTCAGCAGATCTCCCTCTCCCTAGCATGGGTGCCTAAAGAGGTGAGACAGAAATACACGTTTTGCTTACTGCAGTGGATGTGCCCTGCATGCACTAGTCAGTCCTCTTACTCCCTTCTTATTTTAATCACCTATGTAACGAAATGTTTACCCTCCTTCCCACTGAACAGGCTTCAATGATCTGTTACTGAATAGAAGTTACTTAACAGTCCTTACGAAAGTAAAATTTTAGATCATCTGCAAAATCGTGGATATATTCTTGCATCAGTAATAACGGATCACGCTTTCAAATTTTTCTTTGCATCTGTATGGGCTAAACAGCTTACCTATTAAAATGAAGGCTAAGATTTTACCCTTACCATCAGACTTTTAAGAGCCAGCATCATCTAACAGCATACAAGCACGAACATAAGTTAGTACAGAACAGTTCCTTAGTATAGGATATATATGAAACCCAAGAATTGGTTTTGAAATACAGAGGTATCTCTGTTATTGATGACATGTAACAGCTTCATGTGTTTATGGTCACTGTTAACTTCCTGTGAGAAGGTGTAAGATACTTAGCACAGAAATACACAAAATACACAAAAAACCATGAGCTCATGATAGGCACATACCCTGTCGATGTGACACACAAAGTTCAGAGGTGCTGTGCCTGGAATTGGTACATGGATACAGTAACACACAAATAAGGCACTAGCTGAAGGTAGACTATGTATCCCATATCACTGTATGTTTACCACTTCAGTTGCTATGGGATGCTTAATAATGGTGACATCCTCTAGTGTAGGTGAAGTTTAAGGGATTGGAAAGTTTCTGCATGACTTTAATTTCATTACATCGCTTCACAATCATTTACTTAAGACTTCAAAAGTCACTCAGATGATTGGAAAACAAAAACAAGTCTAAAACACCTAACACAAAAAGTCTGGAGCTATTGTTTTTATACATATCACAGAGCACTCGGCACTTTGTCATCTGGACAGGAGAAGTACTCTCCCACCTTCCCTGAATTAGGCTTAGAGAATACAAGCAGGAAAATGTATTTTTATATACATATGCATATTATTAAAGTCACAGAAAAATCAGAAGTACCTGGGGATGGTGGAGGCTTTTCACGTATCAGGTTTTCAGCTAATGATTTTTCTTCCTAGCAGAGAAATAAAAAATGAGACAATTTTCTTTAACAGTTATCCTTTCCGAAGTACTCTGAACAGCGTCACTATTGGAGAACTTAAACAGAACTTTTGAAGCAGTTTCTTTTATATCAAGAACTGACCATATACGACTTGTTATTTACCCATCTTGATATCATTTTGTCACTTGCCACTTGTGGACACTTGAAACTTAATATTTTCTTTAGTTGTCAGAGAGGGACAGTTCTCAAAACAATTTTATGGCTGACACAGGAGCTGCATAAACATAAAGCTCCTTGACCAAACAGGATGGATATTGCTCCCACTTGTTAGTTTGTATAAAATAGGACTTTAGAATATTCAATTATGATATGAACTGTCAGTCCCTAACTGGGAATCAGCAAATAAATTAAAATATTAAATGTTCAAGTCTGTTCTCCCTTTGCTGATAAAAAGGGAAAAAAAAAAGCACCTATTCTACATTTTCAGAAGGCTCTTTCATCAGGAAAGAACTACAGGCAGAATTTATATTAATGTATTTACTCGAGGTGAACATAATTGATATATGAACTTTCTCCACATTTTTATCAAAGAGCAGTGAAGTTCTGTAAGGATATGATGCCACATAATTTAACATACCAAGACAGTGATGACCAAATGAGTCAAAACTCAAGAACAATTTCAAAAGAAAATACATGTGGTCAAGAACTTGAAGAAAAGAAGCAGTGTTAACAATGGAAGAACTGACCATTTTTGTAAACAATATTCCAGTAAGTTGATCTGAGAAACTAAACTTTTGGGTATTTTTTTTAAGCCTCTGAAAGCAGTCAGACGGGCCTAGCTGGAAAACTAGATAAAAATCTGGTAGAAGCCAAGCTCATAATTTGAAAATTATCACTAAAAGCTATCTCTTGCTATAACACGGTATCTTCCACTCTAACTTTCTTTCTTTCCCATGACAAGCAACAGAAGATATATTTTTTAAAAATCCCAACTTTTGTATGGCCTATTTACCTATATAGCGGTGTTTTTCAAAAGGAATGATTAGCCATTCTTGTACTCCACATGAAAAAGATTCCCTAGTGGCAATAAATTAGTTTTCATTTAAGTGACTGTAAACTATTAGCTCTTTATAAAACTTTTTTCCAAAATGCATCATAAATTAACCCTCATGTCAGTCTTACCTTTAAATTCAAGCCAAGATGTTGGTCCTCTGTTAAAGAAAAACAGATCTTTCAGTCAATTAAAAACAAAAGTATTTGTTAGTCATATGGGTATGTAAATACAGATATTGTGTACTGCAAATAAATGTAAGAAAGTCCTCCAAACACAACAAATTAGATCACTAACTTTTCCATTATCTCTTTCATGGTGTAACAGGATACGGATGTGAGACTTTACTTTACATCACACTGTATAGATGTAACTTGAAGAAATGAAGTTATATTGTCTTCCACTATTCTTTTAGAATTTGACTAAAAGACAAATGAAATATTTTCATTGATTTTACTGGGCTCGAATCATATCGCACCTCTGAAGAAGGCAAGTGCAAATCTGACAGCTTTCAAGATCTGCAGCACTTACTGTGTAGAAGAGGGATTAGAAACAGTTTATACACTCTGTTCTTTTCAGTCTAATGCATCCACTTCCCAAATGGTTTTATCAAAGCAACCCATTCTTTCTGGATATTGTTCTCTACAAAGCTTTTCAAATAACTCCACTGAAATAATATTGAAGCAACACTGGGTTCCAAGATGAATAAAACTTAGAAAGACAAAGATTTTTCAAAACAGACTCAGTTCTGCTTTCTCTTTCCTATTTGATCGCTACTAGAGTGCTGCCATCCTCTGTAAAAACTGCATTTTGCAGCTCTAGAACAAATTCTGATTTCCTGTTTTCCTGATTTTAAAATAATGGACAAGATAATTATACAATAAAACCCCTATGCTGGTAGATTGGTCTTGCTCTCACCATATTTTTTTCTCCACAATATTCTACTGTTGCAAGAAAACTGCTTAATCACAGGTCCAGTTATGAACCAGATGTCCATGATCTAATGAAATTACTTACTGCAAAAAAATTTGTGAAGTTTAACAGTTCAGAGCTTAGGGTGATAACCTGAGATTGATGATCACGTTCAGCTTTCTATTCTGTCAGAACCCTCCTGTATGACCCAATATAAAAGACAATAAGAATGAAACAACTTCTGTAGAAAGGATAAACAATCCCAGTATCATGCAATTTGGTCACAAAAAAAAGTTCTTACTGCTGATTTTCAGACATGACTTTTTTTATCCAAGAAAAATGACTGATTAATTCTATGTCTCAGGGTTGTTTTGTTTTTGTTTTTTTAACATTGGTAGTTTCTACTTTTTTCCATTTTTTTTGAGCACAGTAACACTCCAATAGTTTCCAGAGTATAAACTGGATTGATTCTGGCACATATATCAACAGAAACATAGTACAGAATGACTGTACTAGACAAGACAAAGAGTTCACAAAACACTCCCCACCACACCACCACCCTTTTTACACTGGCTGATAGCGGATGTTTAGGAGTTTCAGTTATATGATGAATATAGACCAATCTTCCCTCTTTATGCAGATTTTTAATTTTCTGTAACTGCTAGAAATGGCTAAGTATTTAGTATCATTTCTTCCATTGCCCTTAAAAAAAAAAAAAAGGAATATATCGTTACCATATAGTATTAAATTTATTTTATTCAAAAATTATTTTACCCCATGGTATTAAAAGGTACAGTGTTTTGACTAAAGTAAGTTTATTTACCTTCTATTTGCATGTTTGACTCATCCACCAGCACACGAAACTCAGTTTCATGAGAAGGCGCCTCTTTCTTGTCAACATTAGTACTAGGAGATGGTGGAAACTCTTCCTATGTAAAAATAAGACATGCCTATCTAAATCATGGTAACACTGTTAAAATAGCCCATGTGTCTTGATATCTGTATGAAACCTTTAAGTGTACTAATGTCCCAGTCACATTTGGAATTGTACTCCAATATTTTAAGATAATAAATTATAAGACATACTTTTTTGTTTTAGGGCTCTATGTAAATAAAATCTAAACCTTACAGGGATCAGCAGGAGGTAGGAAATTATGATAGTCATTTAGTTCACAGGGCAAATATTCCCTGTCACTTTATTCAGTCATAAGAGTCTATCAAATTATCCTACAGTTGCTTGTTCTGTGTTGTATCTAAACTTGCTCTTAATAAAAGATCAACCATTTATTTTCTATATCACAGCACTAAGGAATTAATGAATAATTTTTAACATTGCCTCTGCTGTTTTTCCGCTGTTGATTGCATACCAGTGTCCTACGTATTCCATTCACTCCCTTTTTTTTTCTTTTTTTAAGATCCCCTCCTCTTTCTGACTACTATCTCTTCACCTATGGGTGTTTTCTGATTTTTTTTCACATACATAGCGTTTATTGCCTCTTTACTACTCAGTTACTTCTTCCTGTTTGTTAAATTTTTGTATCATTTCAGACAGAGATGCAAACTGAACTTTACATGTGCCTTAGGAGTATTAACCTGCACATTGCAGGTTAAGACAATCCAAACCTATAACACAGAAAAATCCACTGGCCTTCAAGACAACAAGGAAATTTAGTTCATTTGATTCTGAATCTCCCTGTCTCTATACAGGTCTCTACTCATCAGCACAATACTGAATCAATAACTAAGCTTTTTTACATTTGTAAAAGTAAAGTTCCTAGTGCTTTTAACAAATAATCTACTATATAAATATCATGCTTAACATAAAATATCGTACATTTTACAAGACTAAATTATGCACAATAATTATACACAATGCCAGTGTTTTCCTAATAAGGAAAGGCTCCTAATAATCAGAGATACAGAATCTGTGAGGATCAACACACAAACCAAACTCGTCTAGGAGTAAATGAACCACAAAGAGAAGCATGTGAAATAAAAATCAGATTAATGTCCACAGAGTAAGAAGAGAATGAAAAGCCTTAGAAATGTTTAATATTTGCAGTAATATATTAAAACATGGTAAGAGGAATCATCACATTTTAAAATTCTACCTTTTTATTTTTGCAGGGAACAGCATAAATAGCATTGGTGCTAAAGCTTTCTCCCCTTTTCTCATTACTCTGACAGCTGGACTCTGCCTCTTTATCAGCATCTGAAAGATAGGTATCCGTGTCCTCATCCTCACAATAATTGCCTGATATTTCCGGGGACTGTACAGGAGATCTGTCGCTACCATCAAGTTTCCAGTTGGGCCTGCAAGTAGAAAGTAGTTTAAACCCTGTTTCAGTATTGCTTACTCTTCCAAAAAAACCCCCGCTAGTGAAGTAGAACCATAAGTCCAAACAGCTGACACAGACATCTAAACTTCTGTTAGCTGTAAACAAGGAATTTAGCCTATGTCTATGCTTTAAAATAGACGATTAATGGTGGAGCTACATTTTCTTCTCTATCTTAAAGAAAATGTCAAATTAGAGACAGAAGGTTGCTAATTCTACCAAAATAAGAGTCTGAAATAATTATTTAGCACAAAGAAAATACCTGACGTAATTCAGATGATTCTTCAGTGATCAACTGTTTGTGTAATTGATCATCGTTTGGCAGAAATAATACACGTTTTTACTTGTGACTGCTGTACAATCCAAATCTCCCTCTCTGAAGATTGTATGCATGACATCACTTTATGAGAAATGGAATGAGGATTGTAGACACTTCAGACCCAATTTATGATGTGGTGAGAAAAAAGTAAGTGGCTATAACACCAGAAGTTGGATTAGTTTGCTGTAACTCTTTGGTAAAATTATGTCATTGACAGATTCTATTTCTAAGATAAGATATCAAAACAGAAAGTATACGCTACCCCATTCTGAGCTCTGTGGCTGTGGCATATGGTTCAAAGCATTCTTGTTCTACATAGGTGGAATCACTTTCAGAAAGTGATCGCTGCCGAGGCTGAGGAATAGCAACAGTGCGCCCTGTTAGTGTTGTTGCAAGGATAGCTGCTGCTAGAGCAGACCTGGAAGAAAACAGAATGGAGCAATGAAACAATACTGATGTCTTCTCTGTGCTCCATATTTTATATTTTTTTCCATTGTAAAATGCCTTCGCTATTTAAGCAAAGCAAAATGATCACAGTTAACAAGCATAAACACCACTGAAAGTGCTAAGGGACTGGTTATAAACTATTAACTCTTAAAGTAAAGCAGGAAACTAGGCAAGCTATTGTATCACAGCTATCTAAGAGTAAAGTACAATACCTATTGGTTATCCCAGATCACATGCATGAAAATCATGGAATATACTGAGTTATGTTCCCAAAATTGACATCAACAATTTACAGTACTTAGCATTCATTTTAGCCATAACAGTACTATCTGGCATTGTGTTGAAAAAGTGTTCCATGTTCTGCTATTTTGTCTCCCAGTTTCCATTATTCCCTACTCCGAAGCTTTTACTGATGACACCGAAGCTGTTAATAAATGCTAGCACATTGCGAACTAGGGCAAGCGTAAGTAGATAGAAATGCCTACTTCTGGGATGCTGCGGAGTATAGAGAAGGATAAAATGAAGAGGAAAAAACAAGTATGAACAAAGATTAACGGAGAGAAATGGTGAGGACTGTAACAGGAATGACAACTGGAGGTCAAAAAGGAAGAAGACTTGAACCAGGATTAAGTAGGAATGTTACAGACACTAGAAAGACCACAGAAAACAACCAGAATCGAACTAAACATAGAGAAAACATAAAAGAAAAACTACAAGAAACTACAAATGAAAATAAAAACAAATTCTTATTTTCTCTTTATGTACCTTGCCTATCTAGCTAATTCAAATCCAATCCAACATGGTTTTACATGCCAGTTTTTTTAAGTCTCTGCATTTTTTAATATGCAATAAAATGGCATGTTACTAACTTTTAAGTTACGCCTTTCTAATGAGTTAAAATATCCTGACTTACAGTACCAGTACAGCTACAGTCCTACACTCCACTGTAGCAGCCAAATTAAAAATGGCCCTAACTTTAAATAGTTCATTTGTCTTTAATCAATTCAGATTTATAATAAGTTACATATTCATAATGGTCATTGTCCTAATTACTTAGCACGCTTGGGAGTGGGAGAAAAATAGGTATCTTGAAAGTTCAAAGAAGGGAACTGCCCCAATTAAAAATATATTCTATTTATGAAAAGGTTTATGTAAATACTGCAGCAAGGACATGCAACTCTTCTAATCATGCTTTTCTAGTATGTTATTGCAATTGATGAAGCAAAAAAACCCAAACAAACTCAAAACCTACCTGGGCCTTTCTGGAGAAGGGTTTGGACTACGAGGGGGAGGGGTGCGGGGAACTGCAGGTTTAGGAGCTATGGTAGCGGCAGGGACCAGGCCATGAGCTATATGTTTCTAAACAATTTAAAATAAAATTAGTTGACAATGACTTTAAGGATCACAATGAAAAAACACTGAATCGAACATGCACAAAAACTAACAATGCAAAATAATATAAAAAGAACAACTACATGCAATTAATGTAAACAGAAGACTTGAAATGGTTACAAGTTTAACTTTTTAACATGTATGAACAGCTGCTAATGAAAGTTTGAAATGCAATTTACATAAGACCCATGAATGTAGGTTTTCCACCCACTATATCACAATCGGCAAAACCAGAATTTTAACTTACTGAAGTTTGTTTTTTTCCTGTATATATACAAGAGAAAACGAGTACTAGAAATTAACTTTTTAAAAAATATTTGAATCCTCCTTCAGAGTAACAATATTAGTCCCTTTCTTGTAGAATCTGTCAGTCAGAAGTAATCCCCAGTCATAGCAGTATGAGATGGAAGAAAAAAGTATCACTAAACAAGTCTTGCAGTCAAAGGTTCAATCTGAATAAAATACCCAAACCATCCTAATGCATTTTTGTCAGCTGACTCAACTTTTTTTTTTTTAAAGGATAATGTTAAGTACCAGCTCAGAAAAACTGGGACCAGAATTCCCTACAAAGAGTACTTTGAATGGAATCACGTAATGGTTGAGGTTGGAAGGGAGGTCTGGAGATTGTCTAGTCCAAGCCCCTGCTCAAAGCAGGGTGAACTAGAGAGGGTTGCTTGGGATCCTGTCCAGTTGGGTTTGAGTCTCTCCAGGGGTGGAGACTCCACAACCTCCCTGGACAACTTGTTCCAGTGTTGGAACACTCTCATAGTATTTTTTTAAAAATTATTATTATGTTTAAGTTGAATTTTCTGTGTTTGAATTTGTGCCCATTGCCTCCTTCCTCTCTTTAGACATGAGAAAATACTATGTCATAATAAAGTCCATCACCTTCAGACAGATGTTTCTTTTTTATGGAGTAAAACAGGCTAAGTTTCTGCTATTTCTGCTACAGAGATTTTTGTATTTCTTTTGCACTTATTCTTTAATTGTCTTCTCTAACAGGATAATGAGCAGGTGAAGTGGGAAACATTACTGTCTTTACAGGAAGGTTCATCAAATAACTAAATAGTGCATTACCAAGACTGTCTTTTTACTCGGTTTTATCTTGCAAATGCACTGGCGGTCTGTCTGGCATGCACCATTTTGTTTACTAGAGGCTGTCCACTGGAGATGTCTTACTGTGATTACCAGGGAACACAGCTGAGGTAAAAGGATGCTGTCATCCCACATTAAAAGTAAGACAGCAAAAGAAGATGAGTACTTTTTTTCATTCTAATACTAAAAAAAAACTTCAATTACTTCACGTACGTTAAAAGATAATGCCCGGCACCACTGCTGACAATCCTACAACGCTTGGCTGCTTTAAGCTTTCGCTATGAACTTTTACCAGCTCACTTTACGGCAGTGATTGTGTGCTTCGAGGACCAGCTCGGCAATCCCTAGAAGCGAGCGAGCTGTACTTCCATTCCCGCCGTGGCTCCAGCCCCCGCCGGTAGCCAGAGGATCCCTGGAGGGGAAGGGCGCGGGGAAAC